TTCACCTGTCACAGACTTTGTTCGGTCAATAAAGAGTCTCTTATCTGAGGCACAAACAAAACACTCGACACAAACACTCAGCTGCCCACGGACACAAACACAGCCAAGAGACAAAGCTTTTACTATGAATCATCTTTGGTCTTTTGAAGTAGTAGTAGTAGTAGTAGTAGTAGTAAGAGCAGTAGTAGCAGCAGTGGAAGTCGTAATAGTAGTAGTAGGAGTAGGTGTAATAGTAGTAGCAGCAGTAACAGTAGTAGTAACAGTATTAGTAGTAGTAGCAATAGTAATAGTAGTATCAGTAGTAGTAATAGTAGTAGTTGAAGTTGCAGTAGTAGTAGTTGTAGTTATAGTAGTAATACTAATAGTAGGAGTAAGAGTAGTAATAATAGTAATAGTAGTAGCATCAGAAGTAAAAGTAATGGCAGTAATAGGAGTTATAGCAGTAGTAATAGTAGATGTAACAGTAGTTGTAGTAGTAGTTAAAATTGCAGTAGTTGTAGTAGTAGTAGTAGTAGTAGTAGTAATAGTAGTAGTAGTAATAGTAGTGGCAACAGAAGTAGTAGTAGTAGTAGTAGTAGTAGTTGTAGTAGTAGTAGTAGTAGTAATAGTAATAGTAGTAGTAGTAGCAGTAGTAGTAGTTGTTATAATAGTAATACTAATAGTAGGAGTAAGAGTAGTAATAATAGTAATAGTAGTAGCATCAGAAGTAATAGTAATGGCAGTAATAGTAGTTACAGTAGTAGTAGCAGTAGAAGTAGTAGATGTAACAGTAGTTGTAGTAGTAGTTAAAATTGCAGTAGTTGTTGTAGTTAGTGTTGTTGTAGTAGTAGTAGTAGCAGTTATAGTAGTACTAACAGTATGATTAGTAGTAGTAGTAGTAAAAGTAGTTATAGTAGTAGCAGTAACAGTAGTAGTAGTAGTGGTAGTAGTAGTGGTTGTAGTTACACTAATTTTGTTGTAGTAGTAGTACTTGTGGTCATAGTAGTATTAATCGTAGTAATAGTTGTAGTCGTAGTAGTAGTAGTAATAGTAGTTGCAGTAACACTAGTAGTGGTTGTAATCACAGGAGTTTTGTTGTAGTAGTTGTACCTGTAGTAGTAGTAATAGTTGTAGTAGTAGTTAAAGTAGTAATAGTAATGTAGAAGCAGTAGTAGTAGTTGTAATAGTAGTACTAACAGCATCAGTAGTAGTAGTAGTAGTAGTTGTAGTGGTGGTAGTAGTAGTGGTTGTGATCACAGTAGTTTTGTTGTAATAGTAGTACTTGTAGTAGTAGTAATAGTTGCTGTAGTAGTTATAGTAGTAATAGTAATGTAGAAGCAGTAGTAGTAGTTGTTGTAGTAGTAGTTGAAATAGTAGTACTACTAGCAGTAATAGTAGTACTAACAGTATCAATAGCAGTAGTAGCAATAGTAGTAGTAGTAGTAATAGTAGTTGCAGTAACACTAGTAGTGGTGGTAGTAGTAGTGGTTGTAGTCACAGTAGTTTTGTTGTAGTAGTAGTACTTGTAGTAGTAGTAATAGTTGTAGTGGTAGTAGTTATAGTAGTAATAGTAATGTAGTAGCAGCAGTAGTAGTTGTAATAGTAGTACTAACAGTATCAGTAGTAGTAGTAGTAGTAATAGTAAAAGTTGTAGTAAAACACATTGAAGTGAGTGAAGCTGTTATTACGAAATGATGTCGTCTTTTTATCTTTTACGCAGAGGAAAATTAAAGTTCCTAATTTACACAAAACTGACTTTTGTGAGGTTGAACATGTGTGAATGAAACAAAACACAGCTCCAGGTTTGTTTTTGAGGCGATAAATACTTTATAACACGACTTAAAGCTCACAAGTAAACGTAAAGTGCGATACAGGAGCTTTGAAACACCTCGTGCCATAATCTGTGGAATGTCCTTGTGTGTTTTGTCCTGCGCAGGGACCCGTAGTCTGTGGTCAGGGCAGGTCAGACAGGAGCCTTGACATTCTGCTCAGTCTATTCCTGAACCTGAGACGATCAAGTTGCACCAAGCACTACTCCCAGGTACTACAGCAACTACTGCTGCTACTGCTGAGTAATGCTGTGTACTGCTGCTGTGTACTAGGGATGTGACAATAACCAAAATATCGTGATATCGTATCGTCAAAAGTCTCAAAATAATAACGAGAGATGTCACAATAAATCGAATCACAAGTTCCTTTGATTAAATGCATTGTTTTATAGTAGCAGCAGCTGATAAACTTTGAGAACTACATATCCCATGATTCATTTCAGCGCAGACGATCTCAAAATAATATCAAGAGCCCTCACAATATATCGAATTACTAGTTCCTTTGCTTAAATGTATTGTTTTATAGGAGCAGCAGCTAATAAACATAACGAACTACATATCCCATGATCCATTTCAGCACAAATAGTTTCAAAATAATATCGAGAGCCATCACAATGACGAGTTTCTTTGTTTAAATGCATTGTTTGAGAGTAACAGCAGCTAATAACCTTTGAGAATTACAATTCCCATGGTCCATTTCAGCGCAGACGGTCTCAAAATAATATCGAGGTGTCACAATAAATCGAATGACGAGTTCCTTTGCTTAAATGTATTGTATTATAGTAACAGCAGCTAATAAACTTTGAGAACTACAATTCCCATGGTCCATTTCAGCACAAACAGTCTCAAAATAATATCGAGGTGTCACAATATATCGTATTACGAGTTCATCTGTGAGTCGGTGCGGTGGCTGTCGTCCGTCGTACTAACAGCAGAGGGCGCTAATACGATAATCATAAACACTCCTCGTCCTCAGTTTCCACCGTAGACCGATTTGTGAGGGAAAAGTCCAGGGCCGTTTTTTGGTACCAGTTCCGACCCTGCAGGGAACTACATATCCCATGATCCTTTTCAGCGCAGACAGTGTCAAAATAATATTGAGAGCTGTCACAATATATCGAATTACGAGTTCCTTTGCTACTATACTATACTATACTACTACTAATACTACTACTGTGATGAACTTGTATCTAAGAACAGATGACAAGTATTTGTTTCTGCTTTGTGCATCAGAGTAAATCACCTTCTAACAAACTGAACTTGGATGAATGTTTATTTTATGATTTTTTAACTGTTCATAGTTGAAAAATTGGATTTTCATTGAAGCAAGTTGTTATTTTTGACCAGTTGTTGGTTTGTGTGAAAAAAAGAAACAATTTAAAAGGAGTTCAAAAGCTACAGATAGGCAAAAGAGACATTATTTTTATATTTATATATGTATAAATATAATATCTATATATGATACATTTTATATTGCTCACTATTTCGTTGTTGTTCTCCTTTAAATTTTCGTCTTTCTTACCTTAATAGTTGTGGATAAATTCTTCATGTTATAATATTTGTGGACCTTGTTGGTTAATTTGGTGATGGGGGCAGATTTATGAACCTAGAGAATATGACACACACATTTACACACACATTTACACACACACACACTTTACACACACATTTACACACACATTTACACACACATTTTGACACAGAAAATCATTAACCGGGAGTGACGTTTACCCTCCATCGCGGTACTTCCGGCCGTTGCGAAAAAGCTTGATTAAACCTTTCTATCTTCACAGAGACCAAACCAGACCAAGTTACAGGTCAGATCTGTGGAGAGGCGACGCCGCTCACAGTCAGAACACTTGTTTTTCTAGGTATTTTTGAGCGTTAAAAACCACCTGTAATTAAGGTGGTGTCCACACAACAACATTTTTTGGTCGAAACTGTGAAGCAAATTACACACACGGGTCAATAACAAAGATTAAACATGGGAAATTAAACGGTTGGATTTTGAGACCAAGTTATTCTAATAATTCTCATCCAAATCTTATGGCTAAAAATGAAAACTTATGTTTAACCTTTGCAAAACAAAGCGGATATATTTCTGGGATACATCTAAAATAGGCTAAATTACCTTAAAGCAGGCGTATCCAATCTTTTTTCATCAAGGGCCACATATCTAAACACAGACAAAGCAGAGGGCCGATCGAGGGCCGTAGACTGATGCTCAATACAGTGAATAATTGAAATATGTGCAGGTTTAACACGTTAGAATGAACCATCAGTTTTTATTCACGCTAAGATCCTTAAAACCACAAACTAAATATTAAATATTCGCTTTATCAAGGTCGATTTTCAAAAAACTTGCAGTAAAATGCTCATTTTTAATTGATACAAGGTAATTTGGGCCAATTCACCTGGAAGCCTGAGGGCCAAGAAGTGATGAGATCTGCATTATTAAATATTATTGTTATTGTTCACAGCACCACATACAGGTGTGGCAGGTGTATTACATTGTTTTCACTCAGTGCTCCGCTGTCGACTGGACGTGAATATTTACTGATCCAACACGTGTGTGGATGAGAATTTTTTTCAACCCTCAAAAAAAATAAATAAAATAAATAAATAAAATAAATAAATAAATAAAAAATTCAAGAGTGTTGTCCTGTGGCCTAAGGCAAATGTAAAGTAGAGCTGTTTAATGTCATACTGTGGAACATTACGACATCTTCATAGAAACAAGCAGATATACTGTAAATATTATGAATGCCACATGGTTGTAACTTAGAAAATTAGTTTTGAAATTGAAAGGTGAGAGGAAACAAAGACATAAATTTAACTAATAGTTATTTCCTCATTTGCCTGTTGATCCAATGCTAATGCTAATGCTAATGCTAATGCTAATTGCAGCTAAGTCCCGGTTGATCTCCCGCTGGCAGGATATAAACGTTTGCTCTTCTGTAGGACACAAGTGTGGAAATGGAACCTATGAGTTATTCTAATAATAAAAAAACAAAAACAAAAACTTATGTATCTAAAATCGACTAAATTATGTTAAAATAAAAAAAAAAAAAAATGGGGTGATGAGATATTAAATAAATAAATCCAAGAGTGTTGTCGTGTGGACGTAGCCTAAGACTAAATCAGGACTACATCAAGTCTAAACCAGGTCTAAACCAGGACTAAATGTAACGCAAAATGTTTTAGGGCTAGGGGCAGACTACGGCCACAAAAGCAGCATCAGAAGAAATGTTCTTTGAGGAGCCTGAGTGTGAATGAAGACACGTAACACATGGATATGGAGTTGGGTGGAGTATATTGAAAATAAATTGACAGAACAACAATAACAAAAAAATAAATAAAAAAACGAAAACAGTCCAGTTATTTAGTGTTTTGATCTAGGCTAATCTAAGTTCAGGTTGGGTAAGCTCGCCATCATGCATTTCCTTGTTGAGTTGAGTGTTTCTGCAGAGCTGGAGTTGAATCAGTCCATTGAAAAAAACCTGACCTATAAAAGGCCAGAAAACACAAATGAATATCATTTAAATAAAACATTAACAAGTCTTAAATAACCAAAAATAAATTAAATGTATGCATAACCATGCAAGCATAAATGAATCAATACATTCATAGTATTAATTAATTAATTCAGAATACACATTAATAACACAATAAATTAAATGTAGTCATTTACCAATGACCCAACAATTCAAAAGGATTATCAATTAATTACAATATTCAATAAGTAATTAAGTTTATCATTAAATTATTAAAATTAAATTAAATGATTAATTAAGCTGGTTAATAAATCAAGTAAATTCAAATAAGTTTATCCCAATTAAGTTAGTTATTATATTAATAAGTAAAATAAATTCAATAAGTGATCATAATAAAGTTAATAAATTAAATTCACTAAGTGATCAAAATTAAGTTAAAGTAATTTCACTGAGTGATCAAAATTAAGTGCACTTAAATCAACAGTTATCAAAACAATGCCCAAGCAGAGGCCGATATACTCAAATATTGCGCAATATGTTCAAAATAAAGTGCGTGGCTACGCACAAATTCAATTGATGAACTCCACCGGAGTTTTAAAATGAACAGGGAAAAAACAAGCTAAAACTGCACAAATTAATCAAAGGCACGAAAAACAAAGTTAGCGCCTATATTAATAAATTTGTTACCTTCGGTTCGGTTTTCATAATAATGCATAAGGAAAAACGGGTACCTTCGAATTTCCCGTTGCGATTTCCTCTCCATACACGGCCAGGTGAGTATAACCTATATGGCGGCTCTACGAGGATTGGAGACGTGGGATTAGCGGCATTATTGAACGGGGTTATTGAATCGGCAGCATTTTAATGGTAAGGCAAAACACTCACCCAATTGTGGATGTTAAAGGATTCCTGGTTTAAAAGTTTACTGCAATAGTTTGCCGACGCCCAGACCCGCCACAGCCACAGCGGAGCGGAGGAGGAGGAAGTGATACTGTGACCCCGCAACTTAAAGTGGGGAGATCGGGGTGAAGCGGAAATGACCCGCAACAATAAGAGTCTCAAATGCGGGTTATATAAACTAAAACTAAACCAGGACAACATTAGGTGTAAACCAGGAAGAAACCACGACTACGTCTGGTCTACACCAGGACTAAACTAAGATTAAACCAGGACTAAACTAAGATTAAACCAGGACTAAACTAAGACTAAACTGCTACTACATCAGGTCTAAACCAGGACTAAACCAGGACTACATCTGGTCTAAACCAGGACAAAACTAAAATTAAACCAGGACTAAACTAAGACTAAACCAGGACTAAACTAAGACTAAACCAGGACTACATCAGGTCTAAACCAGGACTAAACTAAGACTAAACCAGGACCACATCTGGTCTAAAACAGGACTAAACTAAGACTAAACCAGGACTACATCTGGTCTAAACCAGGACTAAACTAAGACTAAACCAGGACCACATCTGGTCTAAACCAGGACTAAACTAAGATTAAAGCAGGACTAAACTAAGACTAAACCAGGACCACATCTGGTCTAAAACAGGACTAAACTAAGACTAAACCAGGACCACATCTGGTCTAAAACAGGACTAAACTAAGACTAAACCAGGACTTAAACAGGACTATCACAATTTTTGACTAATAAAGAAAAAAAAAAATGCAGCGACAGAATTCCCTCAGATTATGACAGACACAAGAACACACAAAGCTACACAAGCTTTTTTAAAGATTTTATTAATACCAAACATCCAAACCGGTTTAGAATTTTAAAAGTTTGGTCACTCTAATTCAGCTAATAGTTATGTCCTCATTTACCTGTTGATCCAGTTGATAAGTCGGGTCCCTGTTGATAAGTCCCTGTTGATCTCCCGCTGGCAGGATCTGAACTTCTGCTCTTCTGTAGGACACAAGTGTGGAAATGGAACCTATTAACTTGTGCTAATTCCCCATTGACATGAATACGAGCTCTGCAGCGGTTTTAGGAGCGCCGGACTTCCCGTAGAGTTTTTAGCGTGGGGCTCTTTGAAGAACCGGACCCTGGGACGTCCATTGTGATGCACCAGGTGGAGGGATGGAGGGTGGGGTGGGGGGGGGGTCGTACCTGGGTTTAACGGCCCGGGGAAAAGGCCTCAAACTGGGACAAATGTGCTGCTGTGAGGGTCATGGGGACACAGCGTTGAATTTAACAGTCGTTAGTGAAAAAAGTCGCAGGTACAGAAGGCGTTAAGTGTGAAAAGCAGGTAAGTTCACAGGTAGGTTATAAAAAAAATGGACTCTCGTGAGGGTGACCAGATTTTTCCCAAAAAAATTGTAAAACGAGTTTGTAATTTTTGTGTATCTGGCACTAATGTGAGTCAGTACAGTCACGTTTTCTTTGTGTTTTGGTCATTTTTTGGTCTCAGATTGGTCAAAAATAGCGACACCTGGGACATTTCTCGTATAAAACCGGGACAAATCACTGGTTTTTGGATAAATCTGCTGGGACAGAGGACACAGGATCAAAACTGGGACTGTCCCGGGTAAATAGAGACGTCCAGACCTCTTCCAAAACAGACCTGGAGTTGTGTTTTGTTTCATGTTTGAGTAATGTTTTATTATTAGTCTGTCTAAATCCGTGTATCGTATGTTCATTTGTTTTTCAAAATAAAACTAAACATAAGAAAATTTTAAAAACAACTATTTTCTTCATTATTTGTCTCCAAATCCAAAATGAAAAAACTGATAATGATTCGGTTTTTTAGTTTTCGATTTTGTGTTTAAATGGAAAATGGAAAAAATGGATAATGACTGTTTCCCGTTTATGTGACTTAAACTGTGATGCTGGACTGAACCAGGACTAAAACAGGACTAAAACAGGACTAAAGTGAGTGTTGGGACGGCCCGAAGGTTTGCCCACGTAGACTGTCAGATGATCAGGACTGAGGCCAGAATTGAGACCAGGACCAGACCAAGATAGAGACCAGGACTGAGACTGGGACCACACCAAGGACTGAGACTGGGACCAGACCAGAACTGAGACCAGAACTGAAACCGGGACCAGAGCAGGACTGAGACTGGTTTAGTCCTGGTTTAAACCTGGTTCAGTCCTGGTTCAATCCTGGTTTAGTCCTGGTTTGGTTCTGATTTGGTTCTGATTTGGTCCTGGTTTAGACCTGGTTCAGCCCTGGTTCAGTCCAGCATTGCACTTTAAGTCACGTAAATGTTTTTTCCATTTTTCATTTAAACAAAAAATCGAAAACTGAAAAAAAAAAATTGTTTTTTTTTTCACTTTGGTTTTGGAGATAAATAATGAAGAAAAGAGTTGTTTTTTTCATTTTCTTAATTTTGCTTTTATTTTGAAAACAAAATGAACGAATGATACACGAATCTGTCTACATCTCCAAAGCTCAAAATGCTCAGTTCCACCTTGTGACGTCATGTAGTGGTAGTTTTATTTATTTATTTTTCAGTGGGGCAGTTTTCATTAATAAACATTACAATAATAATTGAATAATGTACCTGAATTAGACACAGGGAGGGCATCTGACACACGGGAACATTTCAGAACATGTTTTTACAGAACTAAACTACAGAATTAACAGTTTTTATGCAAAATAAAACAGGAAATTTTGTTATTTGTGGAGGAAATTATACTGCGAATATAAACTAGACAAACTTTTACTTATAATATTGCCTTTAATAATACCTGTAGCCTAAAATTGCATAGGAGGCATTAATCAATAAATGTAAACACTGACTAACGTGCTAATTATAGATGTGAAAGGCTATTTTAAAGAGTGAATAACATTTTCACTTTAAACCGCCTACTTAAAAACTGGAATCTCTAAATTTCCCATTAATTAACTCATTTATTTGGACATTGTACTGACTTATATCAATACATGAATGAAAACCAGATGTCCCCATTGACCCGGGACAGTCCCAGGTTTGAGTCTGTGTCCTCTGTCCCAGCAGATTTATCCAAAAAACAGTGATTTGTCTCATTTTTTATACAAGAAATGTCCCAAATGTCTCTATTTTTGACCTATTTGACACCTGCCAACAGTAAAGAGAGCCATATATTGACATTTGTTTAGGTAAAATACAGAAAAGCTGCTTAAAAATGATCAAAACACAAAGAAAATGCAACTATACTCAATTTTATTATCACCAAACCATCACAACCATCATTTTTTTATTTTATTTTGAAAATCTGGTCACTTCAATTGAAAACTAGTTCATAATTCTAACCAAAAGTACCACATTTGATTAGTTTAACTGTGAAATATTAGATGCTTAATAAATGTACCACTGCTCAGAGCTGTTTCAGGTCACGCGGTGTGGTTTTCTGTATGTCACCTGTCCCAGTGGATTTATCCAAAAAGCAGTGATTTGTCTCATTTTTTTATACAAGAAATGTCCCAAATGTCCCGATTTTTGACCAATTTGACACCTGCCAACAGTAAAGAGAGGCATATATTGACATTTGTTTAGGTAAAATACTGTAAAAATGACCAAAACATAAAGAAAATGTGACTATACTGACTCATGACTTAATTTTATTTTCACTGAACTATCACAACCCATCATTTTTTCATTTTATTTTGAAAATCTGGTCACCCAAATGAAAACTGTGCCCCATTTTATTAGTTTAAATGTAAAATATTAGCTGCTTAATAAATGTCCCACTGCCCAGAGCTGTGTCAAATCCCCTGTCCCAGCAGATTTATCCAAAAAAAGCGATTTGTCTCATTTTTTTTTATACAAGAAATGTTCCAAATGTCCAGATTTTTGACCAATTTGACATCTGCCAACAGTAAAGAGAGCCATATATTGACAATTGTTGAGGCAAAATACATAAAACCTGCTTAAAAATGACCAAAACACAAAGAAAATGCAACTATACTCAATTACATTATCACCAATCTATCACAACCCATAATTTTTTCATTTTATTTTGAAAATCTGGTCATTTTAAGGAAAACTGGTTATATATAATTCTTGAAAGTACCTCATTTGATTAGTTTAACTGTAAAATATGATATGCTTACTAAATATCCCACTGGCCAGAGCTGTTTCAGGTCCCTTGTCCCAGCAGATTTATCCAAAAAACAGTGACTTGGCTCATTGTTATACAAGAAATGTCACAAATGTCCCAATTTTTGACCAGTTTGACACCTGCCAACAGTAAAGAGAGACAAATATTGACATTTGTTTAGGTAAAATACAGAAAAGCTGCTAATAAATGACCAAAATTTAACTATACTGACTCATGACTCAATTTTATTTTCACTGAACTATCACAACCCATCATTTTTTTTATTTTATTTTGAAAATCTGGTCACCCAAATTAAAACTGTGCCACATTTGATTAGTTTAACTGTAAAATATTAGCTGCTTAATAAATGTCCCACTGCCCAGAGCTGTTTCAGGTCACGTGGCGCGGTTTCCTTCGCTCCTCCTTCAGCTCAAAACCACGAGAGGAAAAAAATAAAAAATAACAGGTAAAAGCCTCGACGTTTTCACTCACAAACCGGACAGACGTGCGTAAAAGTCGCGTCTTCTCACCGAAAAACGCGCGATTCGTGAATATTTACGCACTCCTGTTTGCAAAAGAGTGAAATCCGGTGATGTTATGGACGGGCGAGGAACACGCCCACGTGGTGCCCTGGAGGAGGGGCCACGTGCTGAGGTGCTGCTGTGGAGGTGGTGCCGTAAAATGCTCGAGCGCGTCGTAAAACCAGCTGCTCCCCCTCCTCCCCGCATTGAGTATTTCTTTATTTTTACTTATTTAGACGTTTTGAAAAGGCGAAAAAATATTAATTATTGCTCAGTTAAGGTTTATGTTACAGTGGAAATAGATAAAATATTGTGAATGTGTTTTTAATTAAGAACTAAACTGTAGGCTTAAAGCACGTGTGCGCTATTAAATCATATTTACATGGATTTTTCAGCATTTTTTTTGCGTTATTTAGTGGTATTCTTAAAAAAACAAATATTTATTAACAAGAAAGAGAGTGTTTAAGCATGTATACTGCGCGTTTGTTCGATTGCTTTGCAGATTAATCGTAAAATAAAGCCACAAATGATTGAAATGTATTAATCAGAGGCATTTCTTGTGCACGGTAAAGGGCGGGGAGGGGGGGTTAGGTGATGATGTCGTAAAGCGGATAGGAGCGGGGGGGGTGAGGGTGAGGAGGAGAGAGCTGGAGGAAGGAGGGGGGTAAGAGAGGACGGGGGGGAGAGCCAGGGGTGAGTATCCGAGGAGGGAGGGAGGGAGGGAGGCGGCTGTAGCGAGCGAGTCAGACCCAGAGAGCGACCAGGATCATGGCGGATGGCCCCAGGTGTAAGCGCAGAAAGCAGGCGAACCCAAAGCGAAGCAGCGGTGAGTACGAGCGCCGAACCCCCGCCGTGCGCCCGACACCGATCCGGGGGAGCTGGCACCGCGATCCCCCCGTGCACCCCGCGTTCGGACGCAGAGAAGGCACCGACTTGGAGCTGTTTTGACCGAGTTTGGACGTACTATCGCGGGGCTTTCTATCCTAGGGTTGTACCGTTATACCTGGCACCGTTATACGAGCGCTGGAATATTCACGGGGGGCACGGGCGCTGCGCACTTTTCCCAACTTTTAATCACTTTCAAGTCCATTTCGGTGTGATTTTACGCACTTTTTGCACACTTTGCGTGCAGGTCGGAGGTGCCTTTTCGGATATAAACAGCGTGGCTCGCAGTTTGGTGGAGTTGTGAGGCAGAATTTCTGGGCGAGGTTGCAAAGCCAGGGCCGTGCGAACGCAGAATTGTTGATATATTGTGGTCCCTTCAAAAAAAAAAAAAAAGTCCTAGTTTAGACCTGGTTTAGCCTTGATCTGGACTCGATATAGCCTTAGTTTAGACCTAGTTTATGGCACGGTTTTGACCTGGTTTATTACGTGTTTACACCTGGTTTAGTCCTGTTTTGTCAGACCTGGTTCAGTGCTTCTGGTTCAGACTTGATTCAGTCCTCAGTCCTGGTTCAGCTCTGGTTTTTAGTCCTGCTTTAGTCTTTCTTTAGCACTCTCCGGGACGTCCACGGCGCGTACGGCCATGTGGAGAGCTTTGTGACCGCTTTAGGTGCTTCTTCCCCCGGGTTTGGTTCACGGCTCGGCGCCCCCGGTTGTCGCGGTGGTTCGGTGCGAGATGGCCGTGTTTGGCACACTTTGACACGGGCTTTCGCTTCGGTCTGGGTCCCGGTGATGATGGCAGAGGACGTCCAGGATGTTTATTTTATCTGATCGCTGTTCACCCCTCCCCATGCTACAACTGCACAACCACATGTGTCTCTGCACAAGCTAGGAACAGAAGAACAGAACGCACCAAAATAAAGCTTTTTCCATGCAAATTCTTCACTTTGACTGCTAGTTTAAACCTTTTTGCACGCTATTTTGCAAAATACTTTACACCTTTACCTCTAATTTTCACATTTGATCACGTATTAAAGTTGTAATAATGCACAATGAACTCCTTCACCGAGCTTTAACCCCTTATAATTGATCTAAACACGAATCTTTAATTGTTTTTAGCATTTTTAGCTAATTAGCAGCCACCTGTCGCAAGCGTGACTAAAATAGTTCGGGTACAGTTGCTTCTCACGTGTTTTTTTGTTTTGATTTACTTATTTTATCACGTGATTACGCTGCTAAATGCAAATTTTCTGAGTTATGTAACCGCAAAACTTAATTATTTGAGAGTGGAAGTGTATTTTTTTTGCCTTTTAAAGTGATTGAAAGCGCCATCTGTCGTGCGTAACATGTTGAATACGTAATGTTTGGATGCTGCTACTTATCTTTTTGTTGTTTTCCCGTCTTTATAGCTTCTTAAATGAGTTTTTACACAATTATAATTTATATTCAAGACTTTATATGTATGTTTGTGATATATTAGAGTAGTAAAACTAGCACATGTCACGTTTTATCGTGCGTAACACGTTGAATACGTAATGTTTGGATGCTGCTTGTTTGCTTTCTGGTGTTATCCCATCTTTATAGCTTAAGTTAGTTTTTACACAGTTATAACTTATATTTAAAGATGTATATTTGTGTTTTTGACATATTAAAGTAGTAAAAATAGCAAATGTCACGTTTTACGGTGCGTAACATGTAATGTTTGGATGTAGCTTTGTTGTTATCCCTTCTTTATAGCTTCTTAAATGAGTTTTTACACAGTTATAATTTCTATTAAAGCCTTTGTATGTATGTTTTTGATATATCAGAGCAATAAAAATAGCATAAATTGCGTTTTGTCGTGCGTAACGTGTTAAAATACGTAATGTTTGGATGCTGCTACTTGACTTTTTGTTGTTATCACATCTTTATAGCTTCTTAAATTAGCTTTTACACAATTATAACTCATATTTAAAGATGTATATTTACGTTTTTGATATATTAGAGTGGTAAAAATTGCACAGGTTGCGTTTTGTCGTGCGTAACGTGTTAAAATACGTAATGTTTGGATGCTGCTACTTGACTTTTTGTTGTTACCCCATCTTTATAGCTTCTTAAATTAGCTTTAACACAATTATAACTTATATTTAAAGATGTATTCTTACGTTTTTGATATATTAGAGTGGTAAAAATAGCACAGGTCGCATTTTAAACAATTTGTGCATTACTTTTCTTGCTCCAAATCCGTGCTTCCCATTGGCCGCGTACCACCTGTCCCTGCGCGCTCACACGGGTCACATTGGCCAATCAAAAAGTGCTTCTATAATAAATGCGCCGAGGCTCCATTTGTGTTCGGGGGGCTCCGTTACGCGAGCGTGTGTGCGAGAGCCTGGGAGGAGAAGCTGCACCTCGATCCTTTTATTTTCTTGTACTTTTCCTCGCCGCTGACGCCACCACGCTGCCTGTGCGCGCGTCCCGCCCGTGTGTGTGTGTGCCTGTGCCACGGCTCTCCTCCTCCTCCTCCTCCCTCTCTCTCCCCATCATCATGTTTACCTGACCGCGGATAACGGGAATACGACGGGGGATAGCTCACACCTGACGCTGCGTGGAGCTTACGGGACGCCTCGGTTGGCTGACGGCGATCGTTTACCCCGAACCCAAGGCGGAGAACGCGCACAGAATCGCCCTGCAAATGTCCACTTGTGCAGGTAGGCTAACGCGATGATGATGATTTAGTGGTAGCGTTTAGCAAGTGAGACGGGGGGGAGGATGCTCGCTTTGGTCACTCTCGCGGGATTATGAAGCATGCTTTCATATTCTTTCATGTGCTCCTCACCCTTAAGCTCGTTTGGGTGTCATTTCTTTCCATGAACGTGTGCGTAAAAACGAGCCAAACACGCGGGATTTTTAGTTATTTTTATAAATTTTTTTGCGTTTTTGCGCGCGTTCTCCCTTTTGCATTGCCTCTATTGTGTTGCGCTAATTTGTTACACAATTTGCTCCGAGCGGAAGGAGAATGGCGGTCAGTAGGCTCAGGACCAGGGCTGCTGCAGTGGAGGCGGGGCTGCTGGCTGGGGCTCGCGCGGACCAGACATCCTCCAGGTACACGCAAGGTGATGCAACGCCTATAAAGGTACATTTTTTGGGGCGGATTTAGACACGGCGCGCGCGAGGAGCAGGGCCGGGCGAGGTTCGTGCAGGTTTTGGGCAGGTTTCAGGTGAAAGTTTGCGGTGCAAAGCGGTGGGTAGCATCCCGAGCCGAGCAGTGGGGCGTGCAAACCAAGATGGCACAGGCAGGTGTTGTGATTCACGCTCGATCCTCAGTGCATCATTCGTTTCAGACTCACTCAAAGGTTATTTTGGCGAGAATGCAAATAAATAAAGCTCAGAAAATCAACTTTGACTGTAACATTATCTTCCATCTTTAGTTCATCCTCTCCATTGTTTTATTTATTACGTTTTTATCTATTAAATTTGTAGATAAAGTGGATTAAATTGGACTAAGTAAGTAGTAATATGCAGATTTCTGTCTCAAAACTGTCAAAGACTTCCTCATTTATTCATATAAGTAACATATAAGAAACTAGTAGTATATTATTCAAAGTAAAGCTGTGCAATTAATTGAATTTCATTTGGATTTGTGTGTCAAACGATCTCCAAACTCATATAATCGAGTCGAAATTAAGTTTATTTTTGGATTTTTTAATATAAATAAGTATATTTATTGTAGAACAGCTGGATGTGTAGTTTATTTTGGATACATTTATGTTTTTCTATGCCTTATTTCATGTGCAAAGTAGATTTTATTCAGTTTTATAAATTGCAAAACTGCTCTAAGGTTCATATTTGTAGCCTATATTTATTTTGAGTTTGAAAGTTTTGTGTAAATTATCAATAACAAAATGCTGAATAAATGCATCGTGTAACAAAAAAATAATCGTTTGAATAATCATGATTTCAGCATTGACCAAAATAATCATGATAATATTTTTTTTTTTCCATAATCGAGTAGCACTAATTCAAATTCAAAAAGTTTATTGTCAAATTTCTAGATGAACATATGAAAAATTGAAATTATATTCTCACTCTCAACCTTCTAAATTAAGTAATACAAATAAAATTTTATTAGAATTATGTATTTATTTTAAAGGAACACTTTGTAACTTTTCCATTGGAGGTCCGTCACCGTCTTGTTTCTATGGATACGTCATCGCTCTGCCTGGAATGTTCCGCAGTGTGACATTAAGCAGATCTACTTTACATTTATTCAATCACAGGTGGTTTTACAGCTCAAAAATACTTAAAAAAACAAACAAAAACAAAGGCATTCTGACTGTGAGCGGGGTCGCCTCGCCACAGATCTGACCTGTAACTTGGTCTGTTTTGGTCTCCGTGAAGATAGAAAGGTTTAATGCCACACTGTGGAACATTTCGGACAAGCGTATCCATGGAGAAAAGTTACACAACGCACTTTTTAGGACATGTGTATGATACTTTTTTCTGTTTTGTTTTGAAAGTGGTAGTAATTATCTAAAATCAAAATAGTGATGCTAAATTTGTGAAAATTACTTGAGAAATTATGAGAATAAGTCATTTTATTTCCCATGTTTGACCTTAAAGATGCATTGTGTAACTTTTCTGGTGGAGGGTCCGTCGAATGCTTTTCTTCAAGGATATGTTGTTGCTTTGTCTGGAATGTTTCGCAGTGTGGCTTTAAACCTTTCTGTTGTCATGGAGACCAAACTGGGCCATGTTACAGGTCAGATCTGTGGAGAGGCGACGCCGCTCACAGTCAGAACGCCTTTGTTTTTGTTTTTCTAGGTAGTTTTGAGCTGTAAAACCACCTTTAATAATATTTAAATCTGAATAAATGTAAAGTCGAGCTGTTTAATGTTACACTGTGGAACATTCTAAGCCGAGCAGTGACGTATCCATAGAAACGAGAAGGTGACGGACCCCCAAACT